GACTCAAAAGCCTGTTGTAAACTCAGGGGATCATTAGTGTAATTTTTCAACAGTGAGTGCATTGCAATTATGACGGCAGGGTGAAAGACTAAGGTTCTGTCACCTAAAAATTGTGTATGATAGCAAGGCAATGCACGACACAGAGCTGTTGTACTTTGCACCCCAATTTTGTCTATTCACCAAGTTTTGTTTTTGTCATTTGTATCTAAAAATAAGTAGATTTTTATCAGTGGGGCAGAAGGACATCAAAATACCCACATAACCAGGTGAGGTACGGAGAATCTAAACTGCTAAACAGGTATAAATAAAAATAGAAGAAAGGTAAGACTCTCAAAAGTAATTAACTTGTTAGCTCATATTCAAGTGTGGTATTGTGTACAACACTAACAAAATTTTCTGTATGTCTTGCAATTGTTATTCAAAACTTCATGTTTTAGTGTATAAGTAGTTGAGATTTCACAGTGTCTAACACACTGCAAAATGTGAAACTCAAAGCAGACTACATAAACATCATGAATCACAAATGCAAAAGTGTTTTGGCATATACAAATGAAAACACCTAAAACTACCAACAAGTTAAAACTGCAAATGAGTAACAGTTCTTAAAATTTATTGAACTTCTCCATCTTTATTAGTTTAATAATAAAATACAATAATATAATATAATAATAAAAATAAATTGTTCATATGGTAGCAGCATAGCTGACTGACTAGAGCTCTTACAATTTGATTTTAACTTTAATAAGGATTACATCCTGTCAGAAATTTGATTGTATCGTAGGATTACAAGCATGTTTTGTCTTCAGAGAAAAGCAGATAATCAGGTAATCTTCAATTTTACTATAAAATCACAATTATATTTTTTATTTAGCTCAAGCTATATACACATTAAGGATGTTGAATTTTATTTCATAATGTATAATCAACACAGCATAGCTTCCAAATCATAAACAACAACATAGTTTATTCCTCACTTCTTTCAATTTATGAGAATTAAAATTAACCAAGCTGCTTCTCACCCACAGAAGAACTATACTACAATTTCCATTGTTTCTATTGCGGCATCATGGTAGAGTAACGAAGACACAGACATGAGCTCTATGTACAATCAGTTTATTTACAAGATTTTGCAACACTGTACAGCTCTGGAATTGTTTCCGTTTTCTACCTCCGGTACTCCAAAGCACACTTCTCCCCATCCCCTCGCTAGTAATCCTCCACCCCGACATTTCCCTGCGGTGGTACCCAGCTGACACCCAGTGCAACATACTCACAGTGTCACATTTTAGGTCAACATCTTTGATGACCACATCATCTGAAGTATCTTCAAATATCTTATCCAAAAATAACTCAAGTTCCTTCAGTGCAGTGCAAAATCTTCAGGATTTTCTGATTAAAGCCCTTAATAATGAGAGACGATAATGAGATATGCAAGTGATTCCACATGGTACTGACGTAAGTAGAGCCCACAAGTTTGCATAGAATAGACGAACAAAAGAACGTTTTTTATAAAAAGGTTTGCAAAAAGAAAAAAATGTATTCTGGCAAATCAAGGTGCAAAAGGCATATGAAATGTGATAAATGAGCATTAAAAAAGCACATACAATTGAAACAATTTTGGGAAGGGTCAAAAGGCCATACTAAATATGGAATAGGATTCTCTGTAACCAAAGAAAGCTTGCCAGCATCAACAAAAAGTTCAAGAATACTGACAGCTATCTTCTCACTTTCAAGCCTCTGTTTGCAGAGAAAAACATGCATCAGTGCCCTTGGGAGGCTGGCAAGGTTTCAAATTTGAAGAGAAAAGAAAAAGAAAAGAGGGGGGGGGAAAGTAGTGATAAAAAAAGAAGAAAAAAATTGAGAAAAAAAACAGAAAAACAGGCAAAATAAAAAAAATTCTAAAACACTTACAGAAACACAATTAAATTTAAGTTTTGTTAAAATTGTAACAATAATTTTGTTGTATAAGTTTTTAAAATTGCATGAACATAGTTTCCAAGTTTAACATTTCATGCCTGATATCACACCTCTGCTTGTTCAAAAAGGCAAAACAAGATCGTGAATTTGAACTTGCTCAAATTTGTCTAACCTTACATGTAAATATACTCCGTTATCTGTGGTAACATTGTTGTCAGTTACAATGAATTTTTAACTGACGTGTATGTATCGATATTCTATAATTTATTGTATTGTACTAGAGATTTATTTATACATACTCCTTGTAAAACTATGAGCAAAGCCTTATTTTACATGGTGAGTCTCAGGCCATAAGGCCTGCTCTACCATCTGACCACGCAAATTTTGCTACAGTCCTTTCAACCAACTAGTGGAGAAGGGAGGAATTTCTTGGACAACAAAACAGATTTGAATACAGCTAAGAGGCTTCATTTAGACTTAGGATCTTTTACATTCAGTAAATCTATTAACATGGGACAGCCGGCTTACTTCCCCTCAATACAAACAAATTTTTCACTCTAAAAATCCACAGCTTTGATTAGGTGTGAACCCGTGAACTTGGGTATAAGAGTCCGATATGCTAACCGTTATAACATTGCAGACGCAATTTTGCATTATGCCAAACTTCTGGGCTTTACAAACTCTCAACATTCACACGCTCAATAATAATCCTCACGTATAAACAAAAACATTAGTTTCACTTGAAGTCTACTAAGGAATAAAGTGAAATTCCATTTAAATATCGTAAGTCCCAGGTACAGAGGTGACAGTCACAGGCATTTCTACCGAAGTATCAGCTTGCTAATACTGCCAATCTCATCAAAAGTACACAACACTAATTGAAACTTAAAAACTGCAATTTGATTTTCAACGAGATGCTTTGTTGGACAATGTCGGTTCTCATGCTGCTTACTACCTATTCATGTACCATGCGACATACATTGTGCAATGAGAGTTGAGTAAGAGCAGTTTTCGTAAGTTTCTTCAAATTCTCTATTTTTTCCTTATCAATTTTTAAGGTTTTGCTGTTTGCTGGCCTGCTTGCTTAAAATTGAAATTTTGTGCATGACATAGTACTTCATTAAGCTATATCTTTTCGCAGAATGTCCTTGGCTCTACGTCCTATGTCTGACAGCTCTTAACCTTTCTTCATTGTGAAGATTTGTCTACTTTATCCCTTAGATTAATAACTATTATGAGAAACCTATACTTCAAATTAACATTGCAATTTATCTAAAAAATTAAAGAGAGACAGAATTGTTCTCCAGTTAAATACACATTTCAGACTGAATACTGTACAAGAAAAATTCCAAGATAAATAATCTTTAGTGAAGGTAAACTTGCTCAGAAGTAGAGACTAAATGTAAAACAAAGTTGAAGAAGTCCAGAAATATGACAAAAAGAAATCAGAAAAAGCAATATATTGTTATCAACATTACTGTTCATAAGAATTAGGTTCTGATTCTGATGTAAATGAAGATATCCATAGCTAGATACTTAAGTTTTTTAACGTGGCATTTCAAGGTCACGCACGAAAAACGGGAGAGAAAAGGCAGCCTCAAATAGGGAGCTGTAGTGATATGCAGCTCCCTATTGGAGTTTAGCTTTCCTCTCTTCATTTTTTTTTTTTTTTAGCATGACCTTGCCACATTAAAAAAAAATCAGAGTACTGTCCTTGTTAACTTCAGAACAATGGAGGTCATCAGGTCTCAAGGTCAAAAAACTGCATCACTATTCACATTGTTTCTCGATAAAAAATAGTGGATACACAACTCAGAAATTTCTAGAATAAGCAAAATTGAGATTATGTGTATATAAGAAATGAGAATCCCCTACAATATATTACGTTGTACGCTACTGGTCAACAAATATAGCAGGGTGGAACACACAATTGTTCCATCTAAACTATTCACTGAAGTGTCCTGAGTGCAAGGGAATTTTTTTCTATAATGAATACAATATTCAATAAGTGGAAAATATATTTAAAATTGAATAACTTCACATTATTTGTGCAACTAATCCATGCCATATTGTATATGCAGGAAACCCGTTCAAAGACGATAATTCACTTAAAAGATTCAGATGAAACATAAAAGTAATTGCGAACATTTTAAGATAATATGCATGCTTGATTAAATATCTTTACATTAAGTGCCAATATCATTTGTAATAATTTTGGTGATAACTGAAGCACACTTTGACAAAATTAAATTAAAATTTTTCTATTAATCAATAAAGAAATTAATGGCCAACTTGTCACAATACAAAATTTCAAGCTGCCCAGAATATCAATGTCAAAAACAATTGCATATGCACAATACATGGCTTGTCCACTTTATGTCTCAAGCCTATCCACGAGAAAAACCTAAAGCATTACCGTTTCATCTACAAGTATTGCTTCTCTTCTACACATATGGGGCTAACAGATCCCTAATTTCTTTAAGGCAACCAACAATCATGTAAAGAACAAAATTCTAGAATAATAATCATTCACAATGTGAAAGAATTAACTACTGGAATATCAGTCAATTATTAGTGAGGAACAGCTCTCAGTGCACAATCTACTACAATGCCGAAAAAGAAATTGTTCTGCAATCACAAATTAGATGTGAACAAATTGCAAACAACTGGATGTGCTAAAAACTCTGCTTTTCCCTATTTATTTACTAAACCTCAACTGGAGAGTTAAATTGAAAATACAAAACATACACACAACCACAGAGCAATTTTATCATAGTTTGCAAAGCACAAGTAGAGTTTAACAGCTAAAGAATTCCTCAAGATGAGTAACTTTCAAGAGATTCCAATACAATAGGAATTGAGACTACTGATTTGTGCCATAAAACACTTTTTGGGGGGAATAATTAACAACTGCAATCAAAAGACAACTCTAAGATACATTTAATATTTCTTCAAAGATAACTGTATTGGTTGTTTGACAGCAATGACATGACATGACAATATTTCATTTTATCAGATTTAAACAATCCATTCTTTAAGTGAAAAGATTAACCGTAATGAAAAATGTAACTTACGAAACTTACCTGATATCGATTCACAATTCAGCAGAGTACTCTTGAAGCAAAGGACTGGACTGTAGAATAGCATCATCTTTCGCTTGCTCATCACTTCAAAAGATTTCCATTTTGAATTACGCAACACCGCAGTTACGAAGAATGTTCACATTCAATCTTCTCATTTCTCAAAATTATATTTTAACACACAATGTCCAAACTATGTACCAGGAAATAACTGTTGGACCAGAATAATGCTGGCATGGTAAGAAGACACTCATTCACTGAAAGGAGCGGCATTCTTTAGTCTTAGTGAACACAAAACTTCTTTGGTCTTGACAAATAACCATCATATCCTGAAGACGAGATGCATTATTTACATCTGATCTTGTCTCTATAAAGAAAAATGTTAAAATCTTACATGAAACAACACTAATTATATCTTAGAGCTATAACATCTAATTATCTATATTAGAGCTATAAAGACATTCAGACCACTTTGAACACAGAAAAGCTATGTTATACACCAGAAGGTGAAAGAAGGACAATCTTTTCATCAATTGAAATAGATTAGAAACACTTCCCTAATACTTTATCTAGACTGTCAACTCAGCAGTATGAGCAAGATTCAAACACGGACAGAAAGAAAATAAATAAAATAGAAGCAACACAGAAAAATATCCCTCTCCCCCCCTAAAGGAAGAGAGAAAGGAAGTTATGAGCAAGGCAAGAGAAACCAAGAAGAGCAAAGAGGAACAAATGATATTGAGCAAGGCCGGAAGAGCTGGTAAGGGGTAAGAAGAGAAGGAGTACAAAGATAAAAAGGATATGAAAGATGAAAAGAAAGAAAAGGATGAGGGAGCAGAGAAGAAAAAGGAAAATAAACAAAGGAAAGAAGATGAGAGTGATGAAGCAAGAGGTGGCAGAGGAAGAGATTCAAGAAAAAGTGGTATGGCTCAAGACGCTGGAGTGAGATTGAAAATAAAATTGGTGGGAGGTAATGGACAAGGGTAAGGGAAGGGGAACATGATGAGCAGAGATTGAAATAGGGCATGGGAAGTGGAGCATGACAAGACAGAGACAAAGAGAATTAGGGGGAAGAGGAGAAGCGAGAGGGGAAGAGAATAAGGAAGGAGAAAAAGGGTAAGGGAGGTGGTGTTAAAGGATGAAAAGGGAAGAAGGGAAAGAGAAAAGTATGAGTAAGAAAAAAAGGAGCAGAGGAAATGCAAGAGAGTATAGGGCAGAAAGGACAGCAAAGGTAGGGAAAAGGGGACAATGATGAAGGAGAGAGTTGAGAACTGAAAAAGAGGGGTAAGATAATAGGGAAAGAGGGGAAAGATAATGCAGAAAGAGGTAATGATGAACTAAGATAGGAGGGAGAGCAACGAAAAGAGAGGTGAGAAAGAGCAAGGCGGCAAGAACGAGGAAGAGGACAGAAGAAGAAAGAAAAAATGAAGGCGGCAATGTAGAAAGAGGAGAGGATAATGATAAAAGTAGGGCAAGATACTGACAAAAGACAATAGAGTAACGTCAAAAGAAACAAGAAAAGTGGTGAAGTCAAACAACGAGAAAAATATACTAAGGACAGGGCAAGGATGAGCGAGAGAGAGGAAAAGGTAAGAGGATGACGAGAGAGGAAGAGGCAAAAGAAAGAGACAAGAGGATGATGAGAGAGGAAGAGACAACACAAGGATGATCACAAGCGAAAAAGGCAAGGGATGACAAGGGAAAAAGGCAAAGGATGATAAGGGTTCTGGAAGGCCACGACATCGACAAAGGGAAACGAAGCCGAAGGACTCGATGACAACGACGACAACAACAACAAAGGGAGACGAAGCCGAAAGATTCGACCGGTCCCGACGTCGACAAAGAGGATGGGGCCAAGAACACAAGAGGTAACGATGACAAGGTAGAGAAGAGGTAACGATGACAAGGTAGAGAAGAGGAAACGAAGATCACGGCAAGTGGAGAGGAGAGGTGCGTCGACATTGGAGGGCTACGAGAACAAGACGAAGGAGGAGAGGTAAGGAGAGGGCAAGAGAGTGAGGGCAACGTCAAGGGTGGGCATAAGGGGGAAAAAGAGGAAGAACAGAGGAAAGAGGATAAGAGGGGAGGCGAGCAAGAGGGAAGGTGGACAAAGGAGTAGAAAACATGGGGATTGACGGCAATAGGAATGGTGGTCAACGGCACGGGGGATGAGGGAAAAGGACGGCTCGTGCAAGGGGTAACGACGGCTCCGGGAGGGGCTAAAGAAAGCTTGGGGAGGGAGTAAACGGGCGATAGGACAATACCAAAGAGGGGATAAGAATCACAAGGGAAATGCGACAGAGCGGATGACGGAAGGAGGACGGGGACACATAGGTGTTACAGAAGGGTCTAGGGGGACAAGGAGACAGAAATGAACATGTATGGAAGGACTCTTGAGATGTGAAGATTGTTATACCAACATAACCAATCAATTTCTAAACTAATATTGTGAATTTGAAAACATTCTTATGGTTGAAGAAATTTACTATTATGTGGCTTTCATTTGTACCGCATGTTCTTCGTCAGTTATTGAATTTGATGCTGAGCTACTGTATTGTACTAAAATAGTATGCAAAACTTCTTGCTCTGGAATATATGAATAGATTTTAAGCGAACAGAAGAAAAGATGGAAAGATTTCAAAGCATTAAAGTATATTTACAGGATACTCTTGCATTCAAGTCTACCAGTGCATTAACTATCATTACAATTTCATACAGTATTATCCTCCAAATCTTAATTCAAATAATCTTAGTAATTTATTCTATCTTCAGAGTAATTTTGTAACACATCTGATTCTTCTTCAATCAACTTTGCCTTAAATTTCTTAATACATGTAATCTTGTCCAAGAATATAGGGGATACAACATAAATTTACAATATGAAAACATTTTTTTTTAATTCAAATGTTTTTGCAATCTAAATATTAATTGTAAAATAACCAATGTGATTTTCATTCAGTCATTTCCAGTCAGAGGACTCTTATTTGTAACAAAATTATTAGTTTAACATTGCATATGGCAGTATTATGGCATGTTTAACAACTTTAAAGACATTTACAAATCAGTGACAATGACAAATTAAATTAAGCTTACTATATTTCTTCCAGTACCTAATATTTTAAAAAAATGTTCGCACTTACCACTTTAACCAATTCCAGAAATCAATAAATTACAAAATAAACTTGTCCAAGGAAGCTTACTGAAGCCGTCCCCATTAGTTGCACTTATTTTAAAGAAAATGTCTCACCAGTCAAATACCAGCATAGCACTGCAAACCTGAAGATGAAAAGAATTAATTGCTACTGTCATTGTCATTGGTATGAAATACGATAGAAAACAATACATATTAAAAATGGAATTGTACTGTTAAATCCAAAACGATAATCTTCTAATTTCTAATCAATGCATGAATAACTTTTTTACCTTTCATTTATTAAAATATTCATCTTCCATCTGGTAACTGCATACACCAATTCAACAAAACATAGCACATCATTTCTCACATTTTTCTAACTTAAGCAATTTTCGAAAATTCAGATATTTCTTCAAATATAAGACCGGCGCCATTTTTTAAGCATCCTTTACTCCAAAGAAAAAAATTTAATTGAAAAATTTGGACCTGTTCTTTTGTTTGAAAAAACTATTTTTTTTAATCAATCACATAAATTTCATGTACAATTTACATGAAAAGCACTTGTTTTTTCAAAATATGGTACACAACTATTTAAAGATGTAATTTTTTACAACAGATTTCATTTAAGAAAAAATATATTATCAATAATTGTACCTTTTCATGTTTTTTTTTTTTTGCATTTTTCGCAGTGCTCAAAAATGGGACCAGCACCACGTTTTTTACCACCCCTTGGTACAAAAATGTAACAATCCACAGATTTTTTTTCGAAAAAAATTGTACAGGACCTTATTTTAAGATGTCTTAGAAAAACAGATATTAACAGGGAAAAATCTTAAATTCAATATTGTAGTTGAAGGAAGATGTCGAAAAACATACTTTCGCAATTTTCGAAAGTTTAGACATTTTAACAAAAATGCGCCATTTTTAAGTTATCCGGGAAATAAGTTAAATTAAAAAATGAGAACCATTTATGAGAAAATGTTGAGGTTTTGTGTAAAGAACCCCTAAAAATCAAAATTCCCATTGAAAAATCATAGGGCCGCAAGTTCGTTCGAATCGATCGGGAAACATCAATTTTGGAGAAAATCGCCAGAACCGTATGGGCGCTAGCGTTGACCACGCATGGGCATTGTCATCTATGGAATTTTGGTATCAACGACCCACAAATGTGAATTCTGACTAAACGTGTTAGAGGAAGTAATTAACTACATATAGGAAAATGATTTATCCTCATTTTCATTACCAGACCTCGCGATACAATATTTTCTTTCGAAAAAGCTGCCGATTTCTTACACAGTACTACATATTTTCACTACGAGAAAGAAGAAAAATAACATTTAAAACACTGATTCATTGACTGAGGTTTCAAGAGCGCTTCATCAGCTATCATCATTCCATCCTCCCAAATCAAATTAAACACTCCACTTTGCCACAGAAAGGAAAAGAGGTTTGTAAACAAGGACTCCCTTTGCCAAACACTTCCCCAAGACGAAATCCACATTGACAGATACCAAATTTCACACCGTGTAGGAGGATGTGTTCCATGAAGAGGTCTGACTTACATATGTTGCAGATACGGAAGATTCACTTCACAGGGAGAAACAAACCTAAAAAATTACTTCCACGCACCTAGTAACATGGGATAAGGAAGCCTAGGAATATATAGAATCCTTATCATTAGCTGGCGGATTTTGATGACCTAAAACATTGCCCCAAATGATCAATAAAATACTCTTAAAATGCTTTAAAAATGATCTAAATACAAAGAAAAAGGACGTCAAAATTGAACAAAACCACCCCAGATGAACAACTCGCACTGTTGGGTATGTTACTGATGTAATCGAGGCATCTCCTTTCGTTCAAGTGAATTCAGCCTGCAAACTTTTGGTATGGACTGATCTTTAAAAGAAAAGGTCTCCTTTTATTTATTGTGAAATCGGCCAAACTGACAATGGCATTGACAGGTGTCACAGGAACCTTAGATTACATACTACTCACAAAGGCGGTCATTACTATATACGAGCAAAAAAATCGAATAGGCTACTCAGGAATTCTGTGGTGAACATTCGTTGCACCTTGTAAATATTGTTTAAAATTGTATTAAAATCCATGAAAACGGTGAAAAATGCATTAAAAATTACGTAAAAGGTAAAAAATGACTACTGGTCGAAATCAAAGAAAAATGCAAAAAAATTGCCTGAAAAAAGGTTAATTTTCTTTTGTCATTACATAATGAATTTCTATACTAAACAGCATTGTAACAGAGTGAAAAGAAGAAAAAAAAGACCTTTCATTAAAATCCACCTTAATACCCTACCCTTAATACAACAGTGATATTGTGGAACTCTGTTTGCCACGAACTGAGTATGGAGCATTTCAAAAATGCCTGTAAATTTGAAGAGGAGAAAAGCGAGGGTCAATATCAGACTTCCGAGTCACTGATTTCACAGCCGGATCAGTTAACTCATTTTCTGAGATTCCCACATGGTCCAGGGGCCCAACAAAGTACTAGATCATAGTAAAACAACATACAACGACTCAGGTGTTTTATTATTGTTGTTAAATAGTCTGAGAGGAAAAAGGATGGCTTAGAAGAGGGTTGAGTCTCAGAAAACTACTCGCCACAATGATGAAGACTAGGTATAGCTAAGGGTTTCATGCACTGCGTACATCCCAGTGCACAGAGTGAATTCAAAATGTTTCGTGATGCTCATACAATGAAAGCTACATGCAACTCTACCACTGAAAGATCGGCCATCAGTGCATATGAATGTATGATTCAAATAGACTGCCTTCATGAAACTGGATCTGGTTTA